CGCGTGCTTCCCGGAACAGCCTGCTCAGGGGAACTTTTCATCGCTTGGACACGGGAACAAAATGACAAGTGGAATCCCTCGTCCGACCTCGGTGTATGAGGCCGCCCTGGCAGGCTCCCTCCTGGCTCCAGCCTGGTGCAGGCGGCCCCAGGCCCTGACATTAATCTGTTCTCTCCAAAAGGTCAGAGCCTTCTCTTCTCTGAGCATTTTAAAAGGCTGTGAACAAATCAGATGATATTTAAGTAGTTATACCCAGCACCCTCTCAGCTCCCAGTGTATGTGGTGTAGCAGCCTAAGTACAATTTATTGATTCATTCGGCAAATCGTCATTGTGCCCGGACACACGTCATAGGCGCCTGGCAGCGGGCTGACTTCGGGGGCGTGAAGAGGCCTGAGCCTGGATCCTTGTCTTCACTGGGCACGTGGTCTGGTGGCTGGAGAAGGTGGGCACGTTCTGTGAAGCCATCTGTCTAGAGCCTGGTCCCAGGCAAAGGAGGGAGCCGTGGGGACGGGGTGGGGAAAGGCATCAGAGATGAGCCAGTGGGCTGGGAAGTCCTAGGAGAGGCTGCATGGGACTTAGGGGTGTGTGTGTGTGTGTGTGTGTGTGTGTGTGTGTGTACGTGCCATTCTCCACTGTGATTCTCAAATGTGTGCACGTCAGTCGCTAGGCATCTGGGTAACAGGCAGGTTCTATCCCAGCAGATCTGGGGGGAGAGGGGGCGAGATTCTGCATTGCTAGCCAACTCCCAGGTGAAGCTGAAGGCTTGAGGACCACAAAGATGGAGACGGGTGGGAAGCTTGAGGACGGCAGAGAGGAGTTGGGGGCACGGAGGGTCGGGGCACCACGTTCCTTATGGGTGTAGCATGGTGTGGGTGGGGGCAGTGATGGAGAGGTGGGGTTCCGTTTTCAGGGCTCCATACCAGGTGAGGGTACCAGGTCCTCCTCCTGGCTCGTAGAATAGTCTTTGCACACGTCTACCTGAGCCCTGATCATGCTGTCTGTGGCTCCTCAGATAGGTTCTTTCTCCTTCTTTCGTACACGTGAACCTGGGGGGCCACAACTCCATCATCCGGACACCCTTGGGCCTGGCCTGAGGACTCAATGAATGCTTGTCTTGTGATAGATTCACCTGCCTTCTCTGCTCTCGTTGGCAGGACTAGGTCTTGTGAACCCAATTTTGGGTCTTTGCCCTCAAGACGGGGGTTTCCCACTTCATGCTTTTGGAGTGTAATTTTTTGCCATTTAAAGCATTTAAAACTTCTTAGCTCAGGCGCCTGGGTGGCTCAGTCATTTGAGCGTCTGACTCTTGATTTCAGCTCAGGTCATGATCCCAGGGTCATGGGACTGAGCCCCATGTCAGGCTCTGCACTGAGGCCTGCTTAAGATTCTCTCTCAGGCACCTGGGTGGCTTGGTTGGGGGTCTGACTTTGGCTCAGGTCATGATTTTGCAGTTTGTGGGTTCGAGCCCCGTGTTGGGCTTTGCGTCGACAGCTCGGAACCTGGAGCCTGCTTCAGATTCTGTGTGTCCCTCTCTCTCTGTCCCTCCCCTGCTCATGCTCTGTCTATCTCTTTCTCTCTCAAAAATAAATGAACATTAAACTTAAAAAAAAAAGATAATCTCTCTCTCTCTCCCTCTGCCCCTCACTCCAGCTTGTGCTCTCTCTCCTTCTTCTTAGCTTGCTTGCTTGCACTGAGTCCTGTGTCAGTTGGCAAAGTTGTTTTGTCTGGTTGCCCAGGTTGGACACTGCACCAGCATTCTCTACCAACACGACTTAAGCACGGCAGGAATTGTCTCAGTGACGAGGTGTGTGAGGGCTTGCTCTGAGGTTTGCATTCTTTTGGCCTAGGGTAGCACCTCGCCACCAGCTGTAACTTCCCGCTTAGTGTCTGTCCTGCAGAGGCCTTCAGCAGATCCTGGCCTGGTGCCTGATCGGAGTGAGAGGCTGGCGTTCGCTCTCCGGCCCCGTGGCAGTGCTCTCCATCTCATATGGTTATAAGAACGAGGCATCTGGGCTCTGATGCGAAAATCATGGCATTTAATGCACTTGTTGCCTCGTGTGTTAGGAAATGTTCCCGGTGGGTGGGGCGGCCCCTCAGACCCGGCTTCCCTCCGGGGTTCCCGGCCCCAAAGCTCTGTACTCGGCTAAAAGATGAGCAGGGGGGCTCATGAGGTGTGATTGGCGCTGGGTGAGTTGGTGACAAGATGAAAGGAGAAAACCCGGCCCAATGCTTGGAAGCCATGATGGCACGGCGTGGACGTCCTGTGGCGATACCGGGCCCTGTGTGGGATCGGTCCCTGGGGGGACGCACTTCTTCAGGGCCTGCAAGCCTCCTGCCGAGACGTGAGTGAACGCTGAGATCTGGTGCCCTCCCAGACCCCAGGAACCTAAACAGATGGGTCCAGATTGAAATGACCAAGGACGCACAGGGACAACTGCCACCCAGTTATCTCCTCCAACAGAGCAGCCTCCCGACTCGTTTGCCTCACCTTCTGAGTCCGTGGCTCTGGACACTTGGCGGTGGCCCCGTTGGGTCTGTGCCAGGGGACTCACGACACCCAGAGGGAAGGGACGGGCGGTGGCTGTGGTGCAACCCGTTCGTTTAATCTAAGCGGAGCCCGTGAGACAGCGTCCGTGACGCTGCTTTTGCTGGTCACCTGGTTCTTACAGGGCCCTCTCTGTAGTTGTCTTTGTGACTCTGTCGGACTGAGCGCCTTCTGTTTGGAGGTGGAGCTCGGGGGGCTGAGAGGTGTGGGCGACGTTGCCGTCCTAGCCGGAGTCCCGGGGAGGTGCTCCTCCGCGTTCCGTTCCCGCGTGACTCCTTCCGCCAAGGAGCGGGGTCATTCTCCCTCGCCCCTGCCCCTTGGCATCTTTGCAAAGGAGCTTCTGGGTTGGGATGGGGCCCCTGGGGAGTTTTGCTGGAGGGTTGGGTAGGATTTGCACCAAGGACTTAAAACCTTTGGCAGGAAGAATGTGAGACCCACATGTGCGGGCACAGGGTGCAGGGTGGCGGCTGGTAAGTTTGCCGCAGAAGCAGATGCTTGCTCCTCCCTCTCTTCGTCCTCCCTTTCCCACCAGGAACTGGGAAGCCATCCCAGTGAAGGTCTCAGGCTCCAGACCCCACGAGGGTTCAAATCCTGAAGGCACAGCTTACCAGCCACCTTTGGGCTGGCTCCTCACTTAGGCTGGTCCGGTTTCTAGCTCCACAAAGCGGGGACGTGAAACGTGGCCACAGTGAGGCGTGAATGGGGACACGGCAGGGAAGGTGCCCGGAGCGGGGTCTGGCGTGTGGCAGACCCTCGGCGCTCCGAGTGCATCTGTGCCTTGGCGTGGCCGCAGCGAGGGGGAGGCACGCTGCCCAGAGCCGTTCGAATCGATACGACGGTTTTAACTCAGCTCAAGGTGCGCACATCCATCGTCTCTCGTGAACCTGATCGCGGACGAGTCACTGGGTGGAAGGTGGTGCAGGCTGCGTGCACAAGATAGGGCCGGGACAAGAGCCAGAGGAACGGAGGATGGGCTCCGTCACACGGGGCGGGTGTGGCGAGATCGATGTCGCCTCGTTGCAGGTGAGCGAGAGGGGGAGGAAAGAAGAGGAAGCTCCCTGTTGGGCCTGAGTTTCCCCCCCTGGGAAGGCTGTGGTCTTGGGGCTTGTGGGTGGGTGGCGGGGGGTTTGCAAGGCTGGAGTGGGTCCTGGCCAGCGGGTGAGGAGGGGTGGGCACCTGGTGGGGTCTCTGGGAAACCCTGGGCTGTCCTCCCCTCCTGTCCCGGGCAAGCGCACTGGCTTCCTGGCCGAGATGGGCGGTGCTCCCAGGCTGCCCGCAAGATTGGGGAACGTGAATCTGCCTCGGCCGCCAGTCCTCGCGGCATCCTCCAGGCCTACCGAGCCTGACGCTGGCCCCCAGCACCCCTGCAGAACACGTCCTCAGCCAGCCGTTCTGGGCCTCGGGCACCAGGACAGCCCGAGCGGAAGTTCTCCCTCCAGGAGGGAAGACTGGGCTTCTGCTCACTTAGACAGTCTCCCTTTTTGGTTTAAGCCTCTGTGGCAGGACTGTTTGCAAGAATGGCTGCCTTCTGCACTGTCCAAACACGCGCCCTCAATACTGATGTGAGGTTGCTGTAATAACTGAGATGGGAAACTCGTGTCAGCTTCCAAGATACTGACAGAGGACCTGGTCTTCAGCAGGAAGGGGTGGGGGAAATTAGCATCACTTTTGGGGCGCAGGTTTTGGAAGGGGTAGAAATAAAATACTTTGTGTTTCTGCCCCAATAGGTTGAGTCTTCTCTCCCATGGGTGCAAAGGATTCATCTTTTGATTCCTCTTAGAATGCCAGTGCCTTTAGTGGTTATTGGCCATTTAGACCTCAGTGAGAATGAGTTTCAGGTTTCTTTCTTGGGGCTGAGGTTCTATGGTTCTATGGTGCAGCAGTGACCCCGGAGATGGGCAGAAGCCAGGACGCAGGGTGGGCATGCAAGGGGGTGAGTGGGTGGGGACGTGCAGAGAAGGGAGGCTGGTTGTCAGAGAAAACTTGGGGATGGCAGGCCCGGGCGTGGCTGCTGGTGGTGGCCCAGCGGCCTCTGGATGGCTGTCAGGCAGGGAAGGGATTTGTGGAGGGGCCCGGATGTACTCCTCTGGAGATGGGGGGACAGGGAGCAGACTTGAGGGCAGAGGTGGTAACTGATGCTGCTTTTGGAGAACTCAGTCCTTCTCCTCTCCAGGTGGAGCTAAGCCAGCGGCTGCTCTCCCTTCGCCAGCAGCGTAGGGACTGAGCAATAAATTAACAGACCATTAGTTTCACTCCAGCTGGAGAAGGACCCTCTTGGAGGAGGGGGCAGTGGCTACTGCCAGGGGTGTGTGTGTGTGTGTGTGTGTGTGTGTGTGTGTGAGAGAGAGAGACAAGGAGAGAGAGAGACAGACAGAGAGACAGAGACGGTCGTGAAGGGTGGTGGCCAGCCGGCTGGTGAGTACGTAAGTGTGGTCGAGTAGCCAGGCAAGGGCTGAAGGGACAGGGGCCCCGCGGGCAGGACAAGGCGGGCGGCTCTCCCTCTGGGGACAGCGCCCGGGACCAGGAAGACTTGTCTGCTGCTCGAGCTGAGCCCGCGAGGGCTGTAATTAATTGAGACAGGACAAGATGCTTTAAAAATTTTATGATCGATTTGCATAATGGATCTTTGTTTTAAAAAAAGGAAAGAACAAAACGCAAGCTCTCAGGCATCCTGGCGAAGCTCCCCCTGCAGACGCGACCTGCCGGAAGCCGGCATTTCTGACCACAGAGCTTTTCCACGAAAAATCAGGTTTATTGCCTTTTCTCGTCTGATTATATATATAAAACAACAACAACGCGGGCTCACTGGATGAGGTTTGGGGAATGCGGAAAGGGACAGCGACGCTTTAATATCTTGCCACGGGAAGGATCTGGCAGTGATGGATGGTGTGTTTTCTGTTCTTACCTCGGAAGTGGTCCCCTGATAGCCTCTCCTGTAGCAGCACAAGCTTCCGTGCACTTCATAAATTCTCTGGCAGCCCAGCCGACGGCCCCGTGTACTTTTATTACTGGAGGCTAATTGCCCCGTCTCCGTCTGCTCCTGGGATGGAGAAGGCTTCTGCGGGCGGGGGGAGGGAGGGTGGCGCTCTGGGGGAGGAAGCCTCTCGGTTCCGGCATGGCAATGGGGAAGAGTACGGAAACCAGGCCGAGGCATCAGGGCGGGTGTCTGACGCGCGCTCCCTGCTCGCTCAGCAAAAGGCGAAGCAGCCACATGCCTCTGTCCCTTAACCTTGGGGGCAACTTGCCAAGGAGGTGGTGTCATTGAACCATTTTCCAGACGAGGAAGCTGAGGGAGAGGTGGCTTGCCCGAGGTCACACAGCTAGTGGGAGCCAGAGCAGAGGCTCAACCCAGGCCACCTGAGCTGCAGTGCCGCTGAAGCCAGGAAATCGTACGTGCAGAAGAAGGCGCGTAGGCTGCAGCGGGCAGGTTTTTAAGATGGCTGCCAGGGGTACACCCTTCCAGGTCTCCTCCCTTCAAGTGGGCGGGACTCAGAGTATGATGAGACGTCACTCCGTGGATAGGTTACATGCGACGGCAAGGTGAAGTGACCCGGCAGATGTGACCGAAGTCTCTACTTGGCGGCCTTTAAGTTCGTTAAAAGGGAGATGGTTCTGGGTGGGCCTGACCTAATCAGGTGAGCGCTTTAGCTGAAAAGCCTAGAGGTCAGAGAAGAAAAAAGTCAGAGAGATTTGAAGCAGCAGAGACTCCTCTGTTGACCTTGAGAAAATAAGCTGCCATATTGTGGAGGCGGGGGGAATCACATGGAAAGGAAGAGCAGGTGACCCCTAGGCGTTGAGGGTCTCAATCCCACAACTGCAAGGAGCTGAATTCGTACGACAACCAGTGCATTGGGAAGAGGGACCCTGAGTCTATGATGCGAGAGCTATTGTGTGAGGTCATAAAGAGCATGTGGTCACCAGTTGACCTTCAGGCTGGTCAGCCAATGGACACTCATCACTCCCTCCCCCGTCCTTGGATGGTACATTCTGCTTGCCTCCCCCATTCCCAGAGGCTGCCCCAAAGATACAGCCTTGAGATAGCTTGTGTTGACAGCCTGTGGCTGGTATGTGTGATTGAACCCAGTTAAGGCCTCTATATAAAGCTTTGAGATTTGGTGGGGGAGTGGGGAGATCCGCTCATCTCGGGGTGCCCCCTTGCTTATTGGAACTGCCACCCACCAATCTGGGGTGGTATCCTTCTTTCTTCACCCTCTCCGTGCCCTTCAAGTGTGGGGGCCAGATTCAGATGGCATCCGAGGAGCTCCCAGCCCTGGCTGCCACCTTGATTTCAGCCTAGTGAGACCCTGAGCAGGGGACCCAGCTAACCTGGACCTTGGCTCTCGACCTTTGGAAACTGCAAGGTAATCATTTGTGTTGTTGCCAGCCTGCCAAATTGGTGGTAATTTGTTACGCAGCGTAGATCACTGATGCACATGCAAATTAATGCAAACTAGAGACCAGAAGGCACAGGGTCTTTGCACGGTAGGTGCTTAGTGAGCACAGCTCCACCCTCCCCTTCGTCCCAGAAGCTATGTGTCTCGAGCAAGGGCCGGGGGTAGACGTGAGGGCAGATGTGTTCAGGAGCACTTGGCTTCTCCTTCGATGGTGTCAGGTAGCCCAGGCCCTTTTTACTTAAGAAAAGTCAGCTGAGGTTGGATTCCTTCCCCCGGCTCCCAAAGGCTCTTAAGAAGCCACCGCAGTCACACGATCCCATAACTTCCCCCCTGTAGGCGGAGAGGCTTAGAAATGAAAATATTTTGTCTCTTTCACATGGTGGGGGAGTGTGGGGGTGTTGGAGCGTTCGGCTGTAATACACGGCTTCGTAGGCAGCCCTATTACCAGTCCCTAAAATATGCAATTGGGGGAAAATGGGTAATGAGATGAGGTTTGGAGACCAAGCTCTGCGTGGCTTAGGATGTAGCCAGAAGACAGAAAGGGAGTCCTACACATCAAAAGTGGAAGCGAAAACATAGCAATCATGTCCTTTGAACAGACACCCTAATCATCTTTCCGAGGCTGCGTGCCGGGTTGCCGCAGGGCATGTGTGTTAAGAATGACACCCTCGGGGCGCCTGGGTGGCGCAGTCGGTTGACGTCCGACTTCAGCCAGGTCACGATCTCGCGGTCCGTGAGTTTGAGCCCCGCGTCGGGCTCTGGGCTGATGGCTCAGAGTCTGGAGCCTGTTTCCGATTCTGTGTCTCCCTCTCTCTCTGCCCCTCCCCCGTTCATGCTCTGTCTCTCTCTGTCCCAAAAATAAATAAACGTTGAAAGAATGACACCCTCTGCTGCTTCTGTTCCGGCAAGTCACAGCTTCAAAGCCCCTCCATGTGCTCGTCAAGACCCAGTCTCACCAGGCAGCAGAAAGGACTCTTAAGGACTCCAGGATGCTGTGCTCTAAGCTGGAGGCAGAGTCCTGCTGTCACAAATGAGTGAGTCTCCGGGGGGCCAACGAGGGGTCCGCAGGGCTGGACTCTCTCCCACCTTCCCAGACCTCGGCGTGAGACCACAGGGCACCTGTCGTCTCTTCCTCATTGTCTACCTGATCTCTTCTTGTTCATCTGTGGGGACCATCTCCTCCGGGAAGCCTCCCTGAGTGCAGTCTGGGTCAGCCTCCTTGGCCAGGGTCCTGTTGCCCACTGGACTTTGCCTTCAGAGCAACTGTGATTGACAACCTATCTGACTTGATTGTTGGACTCTTAAGTTTCGGGAGGGGGGGACTAGTGCCTGTGTGGCTCATTGTTATACGCCAGCATCCAGTCCAATGGCGGGTAGGTAGGAGGAATATTTGTAAAGTCAACAAATGAAGAAAATGTGGGGAAAGTGGGTAAGGGGTTGGGCAAGCCTGCTAAGGTGGGGTTGCCTTAAAGGTTTTTGGGAGCCTCCCACCTTTATTTTCCACCCCTATTTTGAACCAGAGGTGAGTCTGACCTCCCTTGTTTTACCAAGAGGGAAACCAAAGCCCAGAGAGGGAAGAGACTTCTTCAAGTTCACACAGCAATCTGACAACACGGATCTGGATCCAGAACTGTGCAAATGATTGCTCTGTTATATCACCTTGTCTTAGTGAAGGTCAGAGAAAGGGAGGTGGAACAGACCAGTGGGACATCCTGGGCATTTGCATCAAGGCACAGTGACAGATCGGTCTGTCTCTGATGGAGGGTCCATTTTCTTTCTAGAAGTGTATGGCTAATGCTTAATAGGGTTGCGACAAGGTTGAGGTCATTGGTGTTCCTGGGGCACCAAATTTAAGGAGATATTCACTCTTGGGTATTTCCCAGTCTTTGAGAGTGAGCTGAGCCCCTCACTAGAGTTTGTGCCCTCAGCACTTCTCTGACCTCACCTTCGTTCTGACCCTGACACACGGTGTCTTAGTAACATGGGGTGATGCTAAAGGATTGCAGACTTAAAGATAAGGCCAGGTATCAGCATCTCAGGAAGATCTATCCATCTATCCTTCCATCCATCTATTCGTCCATCCTCCCTCCCTCCCTCCCTCCCTCCCTCCCTTCCTCCCTTCCTTCCTTCCTTCCTTCCTTCCTTCCTTCCTTCCTTCCCTCCTTCCTTCCTCCCTTCCTTCTTTCTGTCCTTCCTTCCGTCCTTCTATCTGTCCTTCCTTCCTTTTATCTGTCCTTCCTTCCTTCCTTCCTTCCTTCCTTCTTTCCTTCTTTCCTTCCTTCCTTCCATTCTTCTATCCATCTGTCCTTCCTTCCTTCCTTCCTTCCTTCCTTCCTTCCTTCTTCTGCCTCTTGTCATCTTTTTCCTTCTCCTCCTTCACCACTATCATCATCATTATCCTCCTCCTCCTCCTCCTCATCTATCCACATATATATATTTACTCTGTGTGTCTGTATGTAAAGATCAGTTCCCTTTCTTCTAGATGATGAAATTTACCTCTTATTACTTGTTCATCTCTGGGCCTTTGCACATGCTGTCCTCACTTCCTAGCCTACATTTCCCTCCACTTTCAGAAGTTGGTTCCTCTTTATTTTGCAGGCTCAGTTCTGGCCAGTGTCTCCTCCTGTGGTTGACATTTCCACCCACGCAGCATCTGCTCTCCTAGCAGCACCTAAGTTTTTGTTGAGAACCCCTCTCTCCTATCATGAAGATCCTCCACGGGACAGCAAAGGCTAAGACGTTCTACTGTCACCCAGTCAGGGAGCAGACGTGGGGCCCAAGGCAGGCAACCAGACTCTGCCCTTCCTCACCCCACTTCCCAGGACTGTCTTGAGTAGAGAGGGAGGAAAGAAAGGGGGAACACGTTGTTGGAAGGCGCTCACTCCTGCAGCTTCACTGGGAGTGATTTCTGCTGCTAGACACTGGGACGACCCCAGTCTGGACCCCCTGTCAACTCTAGCTGCCCTCCCACTTTCAACGTACCCCCTGCCCCTCTAACATGCCCTTTACCCCGAGGCACACGGAGGTGGTCTTCCTTGCTTGCCCAGAGGCTCCCGACAGACAGACCTCTTCAGAGAGGACTTCTTCCTTCCCGGATGCCTCGGTCTCCTCTTTGTGTCTTAGAAGCGGTCTGCACAACTTGTGTTTATTTAACTTATGCCTGCGTGCTTTTTGGTTTCTATTTATGACTGCGTTGTGTTTCTGTCTGTCTGTCTCTTGCGGTAGAACGTGAACCATAAGTGTTCTGAAGGCAGGAGTGCTGTCAGTCTGGTCGCCGTTTTTTCAGTGCCTGCACAGAGTAGACACTCAACATGTATTTATTTAATTATGGTGAAAATTTGAAGGGACTGTCAAGGAAGCGCGTTCTCCCAAAGCCTCCTCTCAGCTGTGGGGTCAGGGCACCTCGCCTTCCGAGCCTCGGCTCTCTCACTTTCTGTCCTATATTCCTGTTTCCTTCTCGCAGTATTTATGCAGTTGCAGACCTAAAGCTGCTTTAGGGGTACAAAAGCCATGGAACGTTGGAGTCAGAAGTGCCAGCTCTGGAGGCAGAGAGACCTGAGCCCTGGTGCCGCCGTCTCTGCCCCTTTCTTCTCTGTGGGACCTTGAGCCTCAGTATTCTCATTCTTAAAATGGGAATAATAGCAGTGCCATCAAAGGGTTGTGCAAGGAGTAAATTAGGCAGAGAGGTAAGGAGTTTAGTATAGTATGTGGTACGTGGGAAGCATTCAGTAAATATTTGTTGAATAAGAATGAACTGGTGAATGGATGAAACAGTATCTGTACTTGGAAGAGAATGTTCTCCCTTAGAATTCTGATGAGCCATAATGCATCTGAAATGCATGCTATCGTCACTGTCCTCTTGTTCCTCAGGTCCCCCTCCCCCCTCTCCACCTGGATAATCACGGGGAGCTATTTTTACATCTGACGTAGTGGAAAAGTAGCAGATTAACAACTCCAGAGATGTACATGGCTTCTATTAATATTAAACAGGGTATTAATTTTACCAGCACTGAAACATTAAACATGTATATCCATTAGTGGTCATTATTTTAATCTCCAGAAGCTGCCTAGCGTATTCCAGGAATAGGTCTGACCCATTCTTCTCTACTTCCTTTTCCTAAATTCACTGGTGAATCAGGGATCATGGTTTTTATTTCCCTGAGGGGACATAGATAATTATAAACTCATAGTTGTTAAGGGAGAAAGTCTGAGAAATCATCACATTCAACTCCCTTATTCAATACCACAAGTCCCTCAAGACCAGACTTCAGCATGTGGAGTACCTTCTGAAAGTGGTCTTCCTAAGACACCCCCCCCCCGCCCCCCCGGGGCTGCCTCCCTGATGCGCTGGCTCTGAGCACCAGCTCTTGACGGTAATTGGTAGACATCCCCATCTCGACTGTAATGACACAGTCAATGGATCTAGCTCAGCACCTTTGGAATGACAGTAAGAAGGACCTATACTAGTTAATAATGACGAGACGCATGGTGTGGGTTGAGTGATGGGCAACTTACCGAGCAGTAATATGGGACATCCAACAATGGCTCATAATCTATAGAACAGTGTGACTTCAACTCCCAGTTGCTCCTCAACCAGAAGCTACTGAAACCCTCAAGGTGGGCCTGAGGGACAAATGTTGCCCAGTGGTTAAGGATGGCCTCTGGTGTCAGACCATGTGTGTTTAAATCTGGTTACACAGCAGGCGATTTGACATCAGCCCAAGACAGTGATTCCCGAGAGAGCGCACAAACACCGAGCAGAGCCAAATGATAAGCCCAACTCACTGCCTGGAGAGCTCCTAGGACAGCCTGGGAGCAAGAGCCCAGGCTGAGTCTGGCGGTATTCCTGAGTTGTGGAGGTGGAGCTGGGAGTCTGGGGAGATTGAGGCAGCTGAATTATGCAGGGCGAGTACCCACAGTACCAGAGAGGAAAACACTGCTTAGGGAAAAAAGCTCCAGAGTATTCAGCTAAGTACCGATCAGTGCGTGTACACGAGTAGTCAGATCTGGAGGAAGACACCACCTGAACAGAAGGAACGATGCTTGAACCTCACACAGAGCCAGATACTTTTCGTGTTCCCACTGGCAACGGTGGAAAGATTTAGAATTCCCAAGACATGCAGTAGTTTACTGAGAAAAAAATTGCCTCAACTGTGTGGAAAATTAGCCCAAGGCCTTCGCTGCTCTAGCCCTAGCCCCACTTAAAAATGCTTAAAAGAAAGTCTTCACAGGACCAAAAAATCTTTCCAGGTAATTCAATCACACCCTAGTACAAACTCAGGAATATTTATAGAAACGCAGTGATATCCAGCACTCAATAAAGTAAAATTTGCATTGTCGCTTAATAAAAAATCACCAGGCATTCAAAGAAACAAAAAACCGCTATCAATAGTGAGAATAGTCAGTCGATAGGTGCAGGTGCAGAAATGACGCCTATAATGGAACCAGTAGGAAAAGACATTAGAATTGTCATTATAAAGATATTTTCCACATCAAGAAAGTAAAGGAAAGCTTGAGTGTGTTAAGCGGAGAAATGGAAAACCAATATTGAACTTCTAGAGGTGGAAAGTATAATGTCTGAGATGAGAAACACACTCGATGAGATGAACAACAGGTTAGACACTGTAGAAGAAAAGATTAGTAAACTTGAAGACAGCAACAGAAAATATAAAAAATGGAATGCAGAGAAAAATGATTAAAATAAGTGGACAGAGAATCAACTTCAACGGACTAATATATGTGTAATTGGAGTCCTTGAGGAGGGGCTTGGGGGAGAAGAAAATGTGTTTGAAAGAATTAATGGGTGAAAATGTCAAGTTTGATGCCAACCATAAACCCAGAGATCCGAGAATACCAAAGAATGCCAAGCACACACACACACACACACACACACACACACACACACACACACACAAAGACGAAAACTACATCATCAAGACAAGTCATAATCAAGTTGCTTGAAACCAATGAAAAAAGGGAAAAATTTAAAAGCAGCCAGAGGGAAAATACAAAAAAGCAGCCACAGATGAAAGAT